AGCGCGGGGCATGTGCGAGCATGTGCAGGCGGGGGCATGTGCAAGCGCGGCGCGGGCCGCCTCCTCCACAAAAGTGAGGTGCATAACGAGGCATTAATTGACTAGTTCATTAATGCGCTACTTCGTACCTCCACAAACGTGAGGTGCATCACGAGGCACTAATTGACTAGTTCATTAATTGACTAGTTCATTAATGCACTACTTCGTACCTCCACAAACGTGAGGTGCATCACGAGGCACGCGCGAGGCTCGACGGCCTACAGCCATTGGATTGCCCGAGATTCGCCGAGATTGCCCGAGATTCGCCGAGATTCGCAGAGATCCGGACGGCCTGCTGGACGTGAAAGACGTGCCCCGAGCAGATCACGCGCGCCGAGACCTAACCTCGGGCCATCTCGGGTCATCTCGGGGTGAGCTCGGCGTGCCCCGACCAGACCACACAAGTCCCAAGACCGGCCCGATCTTCCGCCGATGGCTGCCGTCGAAGACCACCCGCCCGCCGTCGCCGGCTGCGCGGAGCGGGTAGATAGGCTCGCCCTTGCCTTTGGTCGGCGAGCCCGCCACGATCTGGTTGAAGGTGAGCTGGTCGTCCACCTAATTAACTAGTTCAGTAACTAATGAACTCATTAGTTAATTAGTTGAAGGTGAGCTGGTCGTCGACCTAATTAACTGGTTCAGTAATTAATTAGCTAGTTGGTTAGTTAATTAGTTGAAGGTGAGCTGGTCGTCGACCTACCACTAGACACTTCCTAGACATTTCCTAGACACTTCCTAGACACTTCCAGACACCTTCTAGACGTTTCCTAGAGAGCTGCGCACCGCCCCCGCGCAGCCATGGTCGCAGTCGTTCTCGCCCGGCTTCCCGGAGACGGAGGCCTACGGACATGTCTCGGACATGTCGTGGACACGTCCAGGACATGTCCCGGCGGCTTGCCGGAGACTGCGTGCCATGCGGTCGCGCCACTCGGAGGCTAAAGAGAGCGCCTCTGCCGTCGGCCGAAAGGCGAGCACTCCTGTGGGGGACGTGTCACGGACGTGTCTGGGACATGTCCAGGACATGTCCCGCGGTAGCCATAGGGCTAGGAGACGCCGGTGTTGAACCACGCGCTCCACAGCGAGCCCGGGTGGTGCCTAGAAGGTTCCTGGAAGGCTCCTAGAAAACTCCCAGAAGGCTCCGCAGCGAGCCCGGGTGGTGCCTAGAAGGTTCCTGGAAGGCTCCTAGAAAACTCCCAGAAGGCTCCGCAGCAAGCCCGGGTGGTGCCCGCAGCGCGGCACCACGCTCGAGCGGTCGGACCTAAAAAGAAATCCGATGGCAAGCTGAAAAAAGAAACACAAGGGCGCCATCGCTCGAGCGGTCGGACCTAGAAGGTAAGGCTCGCAGAAGGTTCCCAGAAGGTTCCTAGAAAGCTCCTACCCTCGAGCGGTCGGACCGGTCGTCGTCCGCGGCCGTGTCAAGGCAGTCGGTGCCTGCGACATGCGGCGGCCGCGTGAGGGGGAGGAAGACATGCGGCCGCCGCGCGCCCGGCCTGCGTCGCCGCCTGCGAGGACGTCCGCCGTTGGCTGCAGCTCGAGCAGCGCCTGAGGCCGCGAGAGGCACGCGAAGTCCAATTAGTTAATTCACAAATTGAACAAGACCTGCGGCCGCGAGAGCCACGTCCAATGAATGAATGAATGAATGAGTTAATTAAGACCTGCGGCCGCGAGAGCCACGCGCAATCGACGTCCGACACGACCGCCGGCCGGCCAGCTCGCAGAAGCCACACAATGAGGTCCGCCTTGGTCACCCCATAGGCGCCTGCGCGGCGCGGCGCGAGCCGGCCGTCGGGAGCGGCGGGCGGCGGGCTCGGCGGCAATTTGGCGGCTGTCGCGCGCACGAAACATCGAGAACTTGAGCCGGAAGTTTGCGCTCACCTCGACCGGCGGCGCCTTGGACTGCGGTGGTGCCCGGCCGGTGTCGTTGGAGCCAAGCCCGACCCGCAGCGTCGGCAGCCTTCGCGCGAGGAGTCGCGTCGCCAGCGCGCCGTCCAGTGAGGCGACGAACATGTGGCCCGCCGTCGTCCCGCGCAGCAGCGGCCTCAGCAGCAGCGCCCAGTTCTCGGCGAGGTCGGCGTAGGCGGAGTTCGCGACGGTGAAGAAGGCGGGCTGGCCCACCGGGACGCGAGCCAGGATGTCGTCGCGGCTCAGCAGCCTTCCGTTGGCCTCCTCGAGCCCGGAAAGTCCCTCGCCAGGCCCAGAGGAGGCAGTGCGGCGCGGCAGTGCAGCGGCCGCCGCCTGCGCGAGCGCCTTCGCCTCCGCCGCCTCCGCCGCCTCCGCCCTCCGTGTGGCCGCTCGCGCCTCAGTGGCAGCTGCGGCCGCCTCTGCCCTTGCCGCCTCGAGCTGCCGCCGCAACGCACCCACCTCCTCGTCAGCCTGCTCGAGTTTGCCGCTGCGGATCCGCTCTGGGCCGCTGACGAGCCGCGAGCCGCTGTGCACCATCAGCAGACACGCGGCTACCGCAAAGCATGCGAGAAGGCGAATGGTGGTGGCAGGGGTCGCCATGGCGCCACGACCAATGCACGGGTCCGGTTGACGCGGCTGTTGACGCGGGCGCTAGCTGACTAGTTTGTTTGTTCCCGCGTCGCGAACTTTGTGCGCCGGCGTGAAAAAAGAATTCATTTTCCGCTACGCACATCATTCCTAAAAAGGTTTAGATCTACATTCTATCGTTTCACTGATACGAATACTTTCAGCATGCTCCCACAATCGATCCTCCGCGGCGAAGAAACTCATTCTCGGCGCATTGCGTTTGTCCGAAGCGCCGCCTCAATGGTGTAAGGGGGTGCTGATAACTCCGAAGAGGTCCTCACGACGGAGGTCCTCATGAGAGGTCCTCACAAGCAAGCAAGAGGTCCTCACAGCGCCATAGGCGCGCGTGGCCTTTCCAACGAAAACTGGCGCGGCCAGCACTGACTGGAGCCGATGAGGTGCGGTGTGGGAGCGGCAAAAAGATGCTCGTGGTTGAGGGGGTCTCGAGGGGGGGGCGGGGGGGGAGACTACAAAGTCACGTGCATTCCCGTGCTGCATTCGATTCGTGTTTGTAGTTAGTCAGTCTCAGGTGTGTGTGTGCAGGGATCACACTCCCAGTGTGTGCAGAACTCTGCCTCAGATCACTTTTTCTTTTTGTGTTGTATCCGCTTGTTTCTTTTTTCGCGAGGTCGAGGATCGCCGCAGCAAGATTAAAATGAACTCGGCGGCAGGACGCGGCAAGGGCCAAAAGTTCGGAGTTCGGCGGGGGCGTGTGTGGCTCTAATGCAGCGGACAACCGCGTGGGCAATGCTCCTCCTACTTCTACATCACACCGCGGTGCTGCGCGGCACCGCGCCCAGCACAGTCCCCAATGACGTGGCGCGAGCGTGCGAGCTTGGCCACGAGGCGGAAGTGCTGTCGTGGCTCAACGGTGGCGGGAATGTCGACGCGCAATGCCAGGACAGTTCTGCGGGCAGCACTCTTCTCATGAGGGCGGCCAGCGCTGGTCACGAGCGGCTGCTTGTATGAGGCACTGCTGCTGCGCGGTGCTGCTGTCGACCAACAGGACAACGAAGGCTGGACTGCGCTGACGCATGCCGTTCTCGGTTGGACCGCGCGCCTTGATCCCCTGAGCTCGCCACCACTGAGAAGGCGCAGATCGACCGCCGGGCCGCGTAGTCGTCGTTAAGGAGCGGCTTTCGGAGCCGTACGAAGGGGTCCAAAACGGTCGAACATGCGGTTTTTCGATGACCCCAGGCGCGATGTGGTATCTGCTTTTTGCTGGGTGAGGGAGCATGCTGCGCACGCTGATGCAGCACGAGGTCACCACCAATCAGGCCCTCACGCCACCACACGGCCGCCCTCGAGCACCAGCAGCCGCGCTGCGCAATGCTCAAGCTCAGGAGGTCACCCTGCTTCTCGCAGCTTTGTGCAGCGCAGCGAGCGAGCAGCGCCGCACCAGGCGGACCCATGGCGTGCTCAGCCAGCCGTGAGGCGGAGGCAGGCCGAGTGAGCGCGAGCCGCGCGGGAGGCCATGCCCCGCGCACCGGCGAGCGAGTGGCACAAAGAGTGCAAGTCGCGCATGCTTTTGCGTCACGGCTTATTTCTTCTTTTCACAACACTGGGCACGGGACTCAGTGTTGTGCGAGGGAGCTTAGGCGTAGATTCTTCTTTTGGCGAGGCGGCGGCCGTCGGAACGCTGGGTGGGGAGGGCGGCTGCCCTCGCTCGCTGCCTGATCCTGGACGTGCCCACGTCGTGACTGTCGGAGGTAATTCGCTCGAGCTCGTCTCGGGCGTGGCGCCCGGCACTCCGTTCTCTTCTTTTGGTGAGGCCACGGGAATCGGGATTGGCGGCGGGCGGGGCGGCGGCCGTCGGAACGCCGGCGGGGGCGGTGCTCGAGCGAGCAGGCGCGAAGGCCGGGCGAGGCGGCGGGCGGCGGGCGGGGCGGCGGGCGAGGTGGCTGGCGTCGCGTGCGCGCGTCGGGGAGGCGGCGCGGGTGGCAGGCGCAGGCGCGGGTGGGGATTGGGCGAGGGGCGGAGCCGGGAGCGGCTCGCGGGTTGGTCCGGTGGGGGGGGCGGGGCGGGGCGGGGCGGGGTGGATCGGGTCGGGTCGGGTTGGGGCGGGGTTGCTCGGGTCGGGGGGGGGCGGGGTTGTGGGGTGGGGTGGGGATGTCGGGGTGGAGAGTGGGTGGGCGCCGGAGTGGGAGTGGTGTGACTGCTCCTGTGGTGCGGGCGACGGCTTCTGAGGAAGCCGTCGCCCGCGCCTCGCCTGTCGCGTGAATCGTGTCGTGCGTCTTGGAGTTTTTGCCATTTTCCTTCTTTTCTTTGACATCCGTGAGGCGGCGTGGGTCGGCACGTGGGCCCTCGTCACGCGGCCGATACGTGAGCTGCACGAGCCATTCCGCGACCTCGACGTGGCCCTCGCGCCGGGAGAGCGCTTCGACGAGCTTCGGGAGGCTCACAAACGCCTCCGCGCCCTTCGCGACGAGGTCGGCAAGACGTGGCGCGAGTGGGACGGGCGCACGCTATACCAAGACGTCGTCGGGCCCTTCAAGGAGACCAAGGCGGTGGGACGGCGCCGCTACCACCCGCCCAAGCTTACGCCGGCGGCGGAGCTGCTGCCCCTTCCGGAGTTCTCGTCTACCAGCGAGTTCTTACAGCAGGCGCAGCGGCGGTACACCGTCGGCGTACACCATCGCAACTGGCTCGCCCTCGCCGAAGCCTTCGTCAGCGAGGCATCCCGGCGGGGCGGCCGCTACAAGACTGGCAGGTGCAAGAACCACAAGTGCTGGCGCGAGGCGATTCGGTTCGTCGCAGTCAGCCAGGAGGGGGCTGGCGCCTTCCTGAATGCGATCCCCATGCGGGATGATATGAAGATGGAGACGTGGGCGATGCGCATTACAGTTCAGCGCCGCCTCGGCCTCCCGCTCGATGTTGCCTGCCAGGCGGTGGAGGCGGGCAAGAAGGCGCCAAACGTCAAGCCGCACGAAGAACTCGGCGATGCCGCAATGGTCAACCCGCGTGCGAAGCACGCGACACGACACAAATACCTGCTCAAACGACTCGTCAAGACCCTTCGCTCGGCGTGGGGCATGCTCATCGAGATGGAGCCGACTGCACACCTCAGTTACAGTAACCCAAAACAACCTGACGTGGCGGCGGCGAACATCGGCAAAGGGCATGTGCGCCTCGTTGGCGACTTGAAACTGACGAGCTCGCTTGCGTGCAAGGGTGGCGATCGGCTCGGCTGGAAGGGGCTTTTGTCGCCTTCGGCAACACCGAGCGGGCGCTGCTCGACTTAGTGGTAGGGAATGCTGCAGAGGGCCGCGGCGGGGAAGGGGGGGGGGAGGGGGGAGAAGAAGGCGGAGGATTCGCAAGGGGGAGGGAAGTAGAAGGTAAAAAAAGAGTAGAGGTGGGGTTTGGGGGGCAGGGAGGGGGACAGGGCAGACGAGGGGGGAGAGGAAGGGGGGAAGAGGACGAGAACGGGGAAGAGGGGGCGAAAGGGGAGGAGGAGGGGGAGAGTGAGGGGGAGGCGGAGGCGGGGGCACCTGTGACGGCCCGCTACGAGAAGGGCGACTACCGGTTCGCGCGGGAGAAGAATTGCGACCTGCGTTTGCTCGACTTCGAGACGTTCGGCGGCTTCGGGGACGGCGTCCGCAGAATTCTTCGGCAGGCGGCGGACCAGCTGAGTAACAAACTTTCGCACGCTCAGCACCTCGATGAGGTCACATGGACCACCAAGAACTGGCACGGGCTGCAGATGCAGCGCTTGTCTGTCGTTCTCCACACCGCCGTGGCGTGGCAGACGGTGAACGAGCTAGCGTGCGGGGACAGCGGCATTGTGCACGGAGCTAAGTGCATTGCCGTTCTTAACGGAGTCGCTTAGGCGGCTCCGGTGGTGTGCCGGTGATAGTACTAGCACGCGCCAGTTCGCACCTGTGCCGAGCCTGTGTGCTGTGAGACAGAGTTGTTTTGTTTAAATTCTTTCTGTGTTGTGCGAGGGAGTTTTGTTGTAAAATTCTTTCTCATGGCCGGCGTGTCCATCGACCTCACGCAGTCAGACAGCGAGGAGGAGCCAGCACGGCCACAACTGTCACCGCCGCCACCGCCGCCACCCCCGCCGCCGCTACCACCGCCGCCGCCGCCGCTACCCGGCCCAGAGCCAACGGTGCGTGAAGTGCTTGGGCATGCGCTCCTCGGCCTCGAGCAATACGCGGACACCCTTATCGGCGAGGGCTTCGACGACGTCGGCTTCCTGCTGACCTTGACCTTTGAGCAGCTGAAGGAAGACGCCACCACGTACGGCCGGATGAAGCAGGGGCACGCCCACAAGTTTGCGAAGCATTTTCGAGAGGCGGCGGCAGCGGTGGCAGCCACGGCAGCCGTGGCAGCGACGTCGGCGGCGGCGGCATCGACGCCGGCAGCGGCGGCGGCATCGACATTGGCGGCGGCATCGACATCGTCAGCAACGGCGGCGGCGACGGCCGGATCGGGGCTAGCCACGCAGGAGGGGCGAGTAGCGGAAGGGGAGGAGTCGCCCGTTCCCCCGCGGGAGGAGCAGCTCGACGCGATGCGCTCCTTCCACAACTTCTCTGGCTGGAACCAGATCTACCCTCACTTCAGGGACGGCGCGGTAAAGTGCTGGGAGCTGCAGCGCGTCTCGAGCGAGTTCGTGGCCTCGCGCCGAAGCAGCGGCGATGGGCCTTCCGACGGCGGCGGCCGGGCCAAAGGATGCCGCGGCTTCAAGACCTTTCCGCGGCTGAAGGACGCCGTCGTCGAGAGCGCCTTCCGCGAGGGCGTCTTTGACCGCGCGACTCAGGCCGAGGACGCGGCGGCGGCAGTTGGGCGCGACTTTGAATGCTTCGCCTTTCCAGAGGTGGGCGACGCCAAGGAGTCGTCGGCGATGCGTGAAGACGCGGCGTACCGGCGGCTGCGCGCCGCGATGCCCTCCCTGCCGTCGAGCAAGCAGTGGGGCGGGCAGGGCCGCGCCTTCGAGCACCCGACCCTGCCGCCTGGCTGCGTCGGCCTGCCCC